TCCATGTTCAGGAGGTGATTTGAGGTTTCATAGTATAGATTTAGAGATTTTTTTTAAACAGATGTGTTCTACAGTATCAGAAAAGAACACAGAGGCCAGAATCCTATTAGTTAACACCGAGTGACATAACTCCATTGGCATAAATTTCAGTCGTGAACTGCCATCAGTTAAGACATTGGTGGCAGTTCACTGTTGAAATTTAAGCCTCTATGCCAGTATTAGTTATGTAATAGGAGTCTCACCAAAGTTTGTTTCAAATCATAAAACGATCCATAAAATGTGCCTGCTGCTATCACCCTCTCCTAAATCCCTTCATTGAGCATTATAGAAGAGGATGTCTAAACATCTGGACAGTACTTTCTTGGGAAGGCAGATACAGTTGCAAAACCTCTGCCATGGCGTCATCATTTTTTCAAGTCTGAATATTTTGAAGTGGTAGTGTGTATGTTTTGTGTGCAGATGCTGTCCATTGCAAAGCTTCCCGGATGATGAGTGATCTCAGGCAAAGCCTTCCCTCCCTTGGTTTCTTCAGTTCTACTTTCCCTCACAAAACACACATTTAAATGCTTCCATTTAAATAGCAACATGGTTTCCAGCACTTCCTTTCCTCATGACATTGGAGCTTCTTTGCTACCACAAAAATAGAATGCCTTTGCTGGGTAGCCAGATTTGTCTTGCCACGTTTTGCCTATCTGAGCATGAGGGGCCATACGTTGCCCTTGGTGTGTGGCTTGGGTTGTGTTTACCTCTTAGCTGCACCCTCTGTAAGGGTAATCATGAGGGAATGTAGCACTCTGACTGAAAAAAATTCCTCAGTGCTCCACTGTGTATTAGTCCGATGCCAGAAATTTTCCCTGTTAGAATTTCAGCTATTCTCTTTAGATCACAATTCAGCTGTGTTTTGTATGCTTGGTGGGTAAATGGCCAAATTATCATGCCTGCCTCTGCCCCCTTTGCTGTGGCTCTTCCCCATGTTTGATTTGTTTTAAAGCATGTTGTTTGAATTGTGATTTAAATTGCTGCTCAGAAATACTTGATTTAATCATATCACACACACAGCCAAACTGCTATTTTAATAGATATTTTTCATAGTCTCCTTGCTCAGATTGTCTCCATTTTCAGTAATCCTCTGTTTCTTGGTACTTCCAGTATCTGAAGGTGTGCACTTTCAAAGATGCAGGTGAGGACCTGACTATGTCTACACAAAGTTGCAAAGGGACAATAGTTAGTTATTGCTCCAAAGAGATCAGCATCACTCAAGGGAGCTATTGAAAGCAAGCCTGTAGATTTCAACATTATACCATGTCAAGAGACAAAAAAGAAAAAAGCTCTAAGAACTCTAGGATTGCAGTATTGTCTAAAGGTGTCTTCTAGACTGAGTAAAGGGGGAGACACAATGATTAACGTAAGTGATCTATATAGAACCCCATGGAACTCTTGTTATATTGAGGATCCTGTCCATGAACTGTTGGACCTTATTTACAAAATTCCTCCCTGCCCCCCCCCCAGTTATGTAAATAAACTAGTTGACTGAAATCCTGTTGCCTAGCGTAGTTAAATGGCACTAAAGGGGCCCATTGAATCAGTGGGAATTTGGTGAGTCATCTCCTCCCTAAGTTTAACTGATTCAAGTAGGCCTAGCTTAGTTATGACTTCAGTGTAGCAAGACATGCTAGATTAGGCTGACTAAATCGGTGGAGACCTGGTGAGTCAACTCCTCTAAGTTCCACTGATTCAAATGATTCACACTACTCTAGTGTGGCATATTACACTAAGCAACAGGATTTCTGCCATTATCTAATAATATAGAATTAGAATTCATAACCCCCATTGCACAGTGAGATCTTCCATCAATGAAATATTTTAAATTAAAACTCATCAGGTAGGGTAGGGCTTTTTTTCAAGCAATATGCATTTTTACAATAAAAGGTGGAAATCCTACTTACACCCCCAAAAATCTAATTTGTATTTTAAAAATCCATTTAATTTTTTTAAATTGTTGTTTTTAAAATCCAGTCCAGCTTCCTGTTCCACAAGTCCCTTCCAAAATTGGAATCTAGTCTGGCCCAAGAAAAATTCCCCAAACTGAGACTTTTCCTTCTCCCCAGCTGCTTTTGTTGCCTGGGAGGAATTAAGACTATGCAACCTGTGTGCACCTTAAATTCTGTTTAAGGTGATTCCGCCGTACCCCACAGTGTCCAGATGTGCATTTGATCATGAAGAACAGAGAGCCAGCTCCAAGGGAACCAGTGATCCATTAACCACCCTCTCTGCTGGTTTAAGGGAACAATGAGCAAAAAGAAAAAGGGAGGGGCCAAACCTGGAGATTAGTTTATTGCTTACATATTAAATCCTGTGTTTCCACTGAAAGAAGCATTCAAGATGGATAATAATAAAATGCAAATTTTAGCAGCAATATAAAGGTTGGAATCCTAGTAGTGTTTCTATAACTTACAGTGGCTAATTGCAGCTAATTGACAAGATATTAGGGCACATCTTGCTTGTACAATTAGGCATATGACCATACATGCAACAGAGATGCACCCTGACATCTCTTCAATTAGCCACAGTTAGTTGCAGCAACCTATGGAAACAGGATTCTGGCCAAAGACAGAACAATTAAAAATAAATCATGGGTGGGGGAATCTGAAGCCTCAGGTTGAGAATTTAGTTAGAAAGCAGGAATTAAATGTGGGGTAATAAATTTACGCAATGCACTGCTATTACTATTATTATCATGCTCCTTATCATTATCATATTTAGACCTTGAAAAAGGTACTTTTTCAGACTACACCTCCCAGTATCAAGAGACTATGCTGGCTGGTGGTTTACTGCAGAAACAAAAGATGTAACGTTTACTAACATTATTGTCAAAGATTTCCATTCCTACTGCAAGAACTGGAAGACTTCACAATATCCTGCTTAAAATGGCACAACTCAGATTAATTTTAGTACTCATTTTTTCCCACTTGGCTATTATAGTAGCTGGGGTTAGCTGTTAAATTAGTAAAGCAATTATTTTTGGAACCATAACAGTTCTGTCTGACATTAATTACTTCATATGTCTCTCAGGACCCACACAAACGCATTGGCTCAGCCCCACATTTTCTTTGATTTACTGTGAACCAGACTGTGAAGTCTTAACTAAAGTTAATGAACATTTAGTCATGTGGATAATCCCATTGGTTTTGGCAGGCACAGCTTATGTGAATATAAATGCTCATCTGTTGTGCATGAAGATGCACGTTTTCCAGGCCCTGCTTCATTACTTTTACAACATGTTGCCAGGTAGCAAGTACTACTTTGTACAGTAAAATAGTGTTCTGTCTGGTTATCACTGAGGTCTTGTCAATTTATGGACAATCACAATTCTAAACACTCCCTGTTGTTTTTGAATTTAAAATACCATGTCTGTTCATATTTGAAATAAATTTATGGCTTTGTTAACTTCCCTGCAAGTATGGGTATCACATTTTCATTCCCTAAGCTAAAAAAAAAAAAAACCCTGAACAAATCTATGATTCTATTATTCACTCAGGATTTTTTAAAAAAACTTAGGGAATAAAAATGTGATACCCGCACTTGCAGGGGATTTATGCCTGAACAAAGGATGGGATATCAGAGGTGATTTCATCCAGTCTGCCTAGATATCAGTATACAGTACTGTATGTATACGTAAATTATGATAGCAAGTTTGGATATTGTATAACCATGGATACATGATTGACAAGCGTGTGTGGGCTGGGTGGTGGAATGGTTGGCGGATGGGAGATGGAATGTTGGGTGCAGGGCTGCGTGCTGATTGGTTGGTGCACCTGGAATGTGAAAGAAGGTAATGACAAGAGGCAGTTAGGGAGGGAGCCAGTGTGGCAGCCATTTTGAGGAGGAGGAAAGGAAGGAGTCCTCGAGGGAGTGGTGTGGGTGGAGCCTATGCAATTAGTTCACCTCGAGTTTTGGGTGCCAGAGAGTAGCTTATAAAGTAGGTTAACCATGAGAGGCAAATTAAACTTAAAGTGTGTGTTAAAATATGTAACAATTATTTTACCTTTCATCCTGAATACCTGAGAAATTGCCTTTCCATTTACCGTTCTCCCTCTCCCCCGCCAAATAAATTTATTTTGTTTCTTCCCGAGGAAAACTCCACTCATTTTTTATTTTTAAGTGTAACTTTAAAGATACATAATAATTATGAAATGTCTGCTCTCACGATGCAAAAGAAGAGAAAGAGTTTATCTCAAAAAGACCTTTTCACTCAACAAGCAGATTAAATATAAGTATCAGGGAAAGGAGATACCAGCTGGATGGCAACCCGAAATACTTCAGAGAGGGTGCAGAGTGGTTGTCCTTGGGCTGAGGCCTAACCAACTAGCACTATGAAAGAGGTGGCTAGCTTTAGGGTGAAGATGCCAAAGATATACCTAGAACTAGCTGCAAAGAGTGTGGTTCACTAATTTGATAGTAGTAAGAAGAGATTCCTTCCCAGGTTTGTGGCAGTACCTAATCTGGATTATTTTTGTTTTTGTTTTTTTAGTCACAATGCGGGAAGCTTCTGACTGAAACTGGATCTAAATTAAAAGTGTTACATTTTCTTTTTTTAGACAAGATGGTGGGTGGTATGAAAATGTCCTGAAAACAAAACACATTGAAATAAAGTTAATCATTAATAATGGTATAGCCCATGCAACTGTCTTGTTCTGTTTATGGGGGAGATTTCAAGATCCGAAAAGCTTTCAGTTCTGTTGCATTTCTCCGATTATCTGGCTATATTTGCCGTGACACTCTCCCGGCAGGTTTTGCTGTGGCTGTGCATTTTGTGGTTCTGCCCCCTAGTTCTACCTGTATTTTGAACATCTTAAATAGTTCTCAACTCTGACTTTGTGTCCTTACTAAGGGAACAGTTCCTTTACACTATCCAGGAAAAGTACAGTTGGCATAACAACACCCATACAAGTGATGTGTTGTTAACAAGGACATCTTTTTTTAACCCCAATTCTGTACAGGGAATAAATCACAAGATAGTGGAATTGCAGAAATGGAAGAGCTTCCAGTTCCACACAACATCAAGATCAGCAACATCACCTGCGATTCCTTCAAGATTTCATGGGATATGGATTCCAAATCCAAGGAGCGCATTACCCACTACTTCATTGATCTAAATAAGAAAGAGAACAAGAATTCTAACAAATTTAAGCACAAGGTATTGTCTCTGGTTCTATTAGCAGAAATAACACTGACGCTGCAACTGACAGTAAGTGCTGCATTCTGTTTGCAGCTGAAATATTTAATATTTTTACTTGTGATATTTCATTTCTCTCTGTGTGTAGATTTTAAATCTGTCAAGGAAAAGAGTTTCATTGAGCCCATACTCAAGTTTTTCACCTCAACTAAAGTTTCTTTAACATACTGTACTATGGTGTTAATAACATTAACTCTGACTGGTCCCATTGCTGCTTAGTTCTGATTGATATAGGAACGTGGTGGCGCTGTGGGCTAAACCGCAGAGGCCTGTGCTGCAGGGTCAGAAGACCAGCAGTCATAAGATCAAATCCACGCGACGGAGTGAGCGCCCGTCGCTTGTCCTAGCTCCCGCCAACCTAGCGGTTCGAAAGCATGCAAATGCAAGTAGATAAATAGGGACCACCTCGGTGGGAAGGTAACAGTGTTCCATGTCTAAGTCGCACTGGCCATGTGACCACGGAAGATTGTCTTCGGACAAAACCTCGTGGCGCAGAGGTTAAAACGCTGTACTGCAGCTAAAACTGTGCTCACGACCTGGGGTTCAAATCCCAGGTAGCCGGCTCAAGGTTGACTCAGCCTTCCATCCTTCCGAGGTCGGTAAAATGAGTACCCAGCTTGCTGGGGGGGCAATGTGTAGCCTTTATAATTAAAATTGTAAACCGCCCGGAGAGTGCTTGTAGCGCTATGGGGCGGTATATAAGTCCAATAAATAAAAAAATAAATAAAATAAAAAACGCTGGCTCTATGACTTGGAAACGGGGATGAGCACCGTCCCCTAGAGTCGAACATGACTGGACAAAAATTGTCAAGGGGAACCTTTACCTTTACCTCTGATTGATATCACCATTAGGCATGGTTACCTTTTTTTTGAAGACAGTGCTGTGTGTGTCACATGGCTTATGCTGGCCTCCCTAATCTAGTTGGGAGTAGTAGAGGATTCTAATGTGTCATAAATGTTAAAGATCAGTTGTTTTGTCCTATTGCTTTCTGTATGTGGAATGGGATGGAGGGCTCCATCTGTGCCTTCACCTCAGACAGCAAGAATGACAGCCTTGACTGGACTCATCTGGGGATACCACTTGTTTTTTATGACTTTCTAGCAAACTGGAAACACAGGAGATGGGATATTTGAGAGGAGCATCTAATGCTATGTGTCGCACTAGGAGGGCCATAGTGATGTGCTGTGTAAGTGATGTGCTGTGTTCAGCTTTATGGGTCTGGAGATGTTCAGGCCTGGACTGGCCACAGGTTCTGAATGAAAGTCCAGGCAACAGAGATAACAACTTGTGAATTGTTTCATGGCATTTGCAAGTAGGAATGAAGGGAGCATTGGCGTTCAGGGATCCAACTGTATCTCATAACAAAAAGGACCTTGCACAATTCTAGTGGGCATCCAAAACTTCAGTGGAAAAACAGAATTTTCTAATCTATTCCAAGCTTAAACCCGATTCATTCTGAACTTTCTCCACATCAGTACAGAGACTTATGATGAAATAATCCATAATCTACGGAGAAGGAAAATTGACAATAACTGGTTAAACCTGTAGTAAGTAGTGCTAAGATCCTTGGTGTCTCAAAAAAACATCATTATTCAAATCCTTTGACCCAGATGTTTTGCTTAGTTGCTTGGCAAGGCATTGCTAAGAAAAAAAGAGTAATAGAAATTGTGTCCCTGTTATATTAGCAGTATCTGAATAGTATTTCAGACTAGGTAATTTCTATTTAAATTGTCAAGTGCACTAATTTGGTTATGCATTTTGTCAGAATAGTTACATTGTTTGCACTAATTACATGTAGTCTTTTTTCTGCACTTGGAGGTGGAAGAAGATGTGAATTTCAAAAAAAGAATTAAAACCAGGATTTTGGGAATTCAGCCAACCAAAGAAAAGAAACAATGCACTTAATGTTGCATTAAAATACAGTAACTTTCAATTAGTCTTAAAATAAAATAAATAAATTGACAATAACTGGTTAAACCAATTGTGCAATTGGAAACTCCATGAAGTTACACGTTAGGTGATTCCTTTTGATCATATGTCCTCCAAGTTTTGCTGCAGCATTTAAAAATGATGAGATAAATTTAATCATAGAATATTAAAATGTCATGCTGAAGTATAAACTGCATGCAAATGTATTTAAAAGTCCATATTTGACAAATATAGCAAAAAACAGAGCTCTCGGTACTAACATCCTAGTGTAATTTTTAGAGTGTTGGACTGGAATTTGGAAGATAAGAGTTTTAATTACATATTATTGAGTTGTGAAACTTACAGGGGGGAGGGGCTTCAGCCAATCCTTTTTCTGATCAACATTACATGGTTGTTGTGTAGCGGAGGGGAACTATGCCTGCTCCTGTGAACTCACTGGAGGAAAAAATGTGCTATTGTGAGGCCAGAAAGTGTGATGCCTGAAAAACCTCCTTGAGAGGCCCATTGATCTTCATAGATGTCTGGGAGAAATTAGAAGCCTGTGTTCATCACAGCTGGTATTTATCCTTGAAAGGGATAATTCCAGTATGAAACCAGATAAACAGATAAAAGTTCATCTGTATTATCAAGGTTTAAGTCTTTTTATTGTTGGAATGATTCCAGACATCAGCTTGTCTAATACTACAAGTTTTATGCATATACATTGCTTTTGTGTTCCATAAGAATAAGAATACTTGAAATTTGTTGAAAATATGTAACATTTTGAGAAGTTACAGGCCGATTTCGCTTTGCCAGAAATCAATCTTACAGCTATGAAGACGCTGTAGGTACAAATACTTCAACCATTGTAAAATACATTAAAAGTAGGAAAAACTAGAAACATATTCTTAAAAATATATATGAAAACTAAACTTAAGTTGCAGCCAAATATTTAAGTCAGATTTCAATCCAAAATACAGGAGCATAAAGGTACAATAAAAATATTTTTAAAATACAGTGCTGCCTCGCTAGACAATTACTCCACATGACAGTTTTTTTCGCTAGACATTGGCTTTTTGCGATCGCTATAGTGATTCGCAAAACAGTGATTCCTAATGGGGGAATTTTGCTGGGCAATGTTTCAACCCTGCTTCACAAACCAATTTCGCTAGACGATTTTGACAGCTCCCTCTGCCCTTGCAAACAGGTGTTTTCAGGACCTAAGCTTCGTAAGACAGTGATTTAAACAGCTGATTGGCGGTTCACAAAGCGGCTTTCCTATGGCTGATCTTCGCTAGACAACGACGATTCTTCCCCACTGGAACGCATTGAACAGGTTTCAATGCATTCCAATGGGGAAATGCTTTTCACTAGACCAGTGGTTCTTAACCTTGGGTAATCCAGGTGTTCTTGGACTGCAGTTCCCAGAAGCCTTCACCACCATCTATGCTGGTTGGGGATTCTGGGACCCAAGGTTAAAAACCACTGCACTAGACAATGATTTCGCTAAACAGTGATTTCAGTGGAACAGGTTATCACCGTCTAGCGAGGCACCACTGTATTTTAATTACATGCTAAAAGTACAAGAGTTTATAGCTTTAAAAGCACAATAAAAAGCAGAGTGTCTCTAAAATACATCATTAAAAAGTAAAAAGCAATCTTTAGCCTTTAAGCATATTACTCAACACATATGATCAACATTCACCCAGCCAAGCCAGTTTGAATGTATGGAGGAAAATCCATGCATTCCCCTCCCCCCTTTTTTCTTTTGGCTGCTGCTATATGATGCCTGGCACTTCTTGGTATCTGTGTTGTTGCTATTTGGTGTGTGTAGCATGTGTAGTGTGTCTCTTGCCTCCCTATTTTATATTTCTCTCAGATGTTTACATTTCCCTTCAACTGCAATCAACAGAATTTTGCCAATGTAGTAAACTTTTGGTCTGCATAAATCATCAGAATTTTTTAAATGGAAATCTCTATTGCGTTTAGGAAGGTACGACTCCCATTAGTTATAAGACTAGCAAGTTGCTGCTATGGCAGATCATTGCTTTTGTTTCGATTAAATGGGTCCCTGCACCTGTGGGGATATCTGACTAATAGTAATTTACTATTTACTGGTAATTTACTAGGTAGATAAAATGCCATGAGCACAAAGTACTAGTGAACCAAGTTGGTCAGGTACCAATTTGCTCTATCTACATTTTAGGGCTTTGGGAGGGTTTTTTTCCCCTTGTTTTTGATTTCTTTATCATTTGTTTACATGTTCAGCTGTCAGCTATGAAAGAGATTCTTTTGTGAGGCAATGTTGTTTTAACTTGCTTTCAGACTTGCTGGAGCTAGCTGGCTGTTTTGCAGTGACTTTGAGTAGACGGCTGTATAAACCTCATTTGTAAAAGCAAAATTTATGTTTTCAGGGTTGCCTTTTTTATAAACAGTTTTCTTAATTATTTTAACACTCTGTACATTCTGAGTTTCAAACCTTGACACTTTCAAGTCAGTTCTGACTTATGGTAATTCTGTGTTTTTTAGGTATAAAATATTCAGCAGTGGATTACGGTCCCTCTTTCTGGGAATGCTGCGGGACTGCTGGCTTGCCCAGTACATAATAATGAATCATATCTGAAAGTCTATTGAAACAATTCCAAACAGCAGCAACTGTGGTAACAAATGTAATAAAGCCAGAGCCTTTCCAGAAGAGAGCTGGGTTTTTTATTGATTGATGAGCTTCCACCTGCGTGCATTAAACAACTGTGTTTGGAGTTAAATGGGGCCACATCTCAGATACAACCCTAACTCTCTTTCTGCTATGGATCGGAAACTTATCCTTATAAAATTGCCTCAATTTATATATTTTTTCTTTGCCATTATCAAAGGTTCTTTTGACTAGAACCTAGCTAGTGATGACTCATCTATTATATAATTAGACTCATGTTGTAATGTCCAAAGCATTTAACCTTTAGAGAACCTTAATCTGTAGTATCAAGCTCTATAGGTCTCCTTTTTTCCATTAAATTCTACCATTAGGAATAATCTATTATACTAGGACCTTGCA